ACAGTTTCCGCACAAACGTGAAACGGGAGAATATCCTTTCGATGCTAGCCGGGGCAGCCACCCTGAAGTACGCTCTGCACACAGCATTTGGAAACACTGAGTTCTTCGAGTTTGAACTGCACAACCCCGATGGCCAGGAGGACTACGTTCAGGTTCTAATCGATGACACAAAGTAAGCCGAACCCCCAGCGCAGATGGGGTCCACGTTAATAACCCGAGATCTCTTTGTTACTTTTAATAGAGAGATGTCCTGACACCAGCGGTTTACTGGAATACACCCGTACCAACTGATTTTCTTAGTAAAGGGATTCAGTAAATCTCCAGGCAAGTTTCGATCGGGAATGCACACCGACCGGTTACGGAAAGCACTCGTCCCATTGTGCCTTGGAGTTTGCTCTCAAGTCCAACCAGCAACCGCTCAACGGCTAGCCCATCTAACACTGTTATTAGTGGCGATCGAATCCGGTAAGGTTACGAGACGGTGGCGCAGTGGTTAGAGCGTTGGACTTCTAGTCAACATGGTCGCGGGTTCGAGCCTGGGGAATCGTCACCCCCTGGAATTGGGTATGGCTGGTTTATGACAGCTAATAAACCAGAAATGGCCATTTCAGTCTCCCTTGTCTTTTTCAGTAATGCCGATAGAAGTGAATAAGCGAGTTCCAGGAAGCATTTCAGAAGAAGAAGAAAATGCGGTCACAGGAACAAGACTTTTCCTGACGTTTCGGATTCTGTCGAGAATACATAATCATAGGTAGCCGTAGAATGGTATGAGACATGCGTAATGTGTTCCTGCCTATAATATGCTAACGGTTGAGCTGCTGGTTATCGGGCTCGAGAGCGTATAGGAGTTAAGGTTAAGACGGTTAACCCCAACAGTTACAATCTTCCAGGCCCGGTTTCTTAGGAGATGGGAGAAGTCTTGAGAAGGCCAAAATAGAAGGAATAGTTTATTGTGTACACAAAGGAACGGAGAATAGATGGACAGAAGTTGGACTTCGGAGCACACGTCATTCCGCTGGAGCGCCGTGGTCCTAAGTGACGTCCAGTGGCCGAGGGTAGGGAAAAAGGTACTTGTTCGAGTGGTGCTTGGGCAGCCGCGAGAACCTAGACGCACGTGTGTG